GTTCTAATACAACGTTGCATAAATAAAGCAAGATCACTTCTTCAGATATAAGTGACATGGCATTACTTAGTTCTGGTAGGTGAGATCCAAATATTTACTCCCTCAGGCTTTCATCCACTAAATGTCATTTTGCTTTCACTGTACTCAGTTGAGTGTTCAATCAAAGGATTCTCACCAAAGCTACTTAAAATTGACTTGTTTAAGTTATAGCATTAATGCAGGTTTTCAAGTTCCAGTCATTAATCAACTGACAATTAGGCTACTGGTCCAAAGTTTAAGTACTTATTGGGAGTGTCTGATAAAAAACTGGAAAAATCTGGAAGTTGAGGCCTAAGTGGGGAATTGCTGAAAGAAAAAAAAAAAGTTAATCACAGAACGGGACAATGTAATCACACTGGCAGATGACATTTCTTTCACAAGTCTTTGGAAGGCTCCACAGCATGAGGCAGAGCTGATAGGCCCCAGTTCTCTGAGTGTAGATGGGTCTGGAAAAGCAGGAAGCAAAGCACCACATAAAAGCATGCTGAATAAAGACAGAAGTGTAGGCCACCTTCCCTGACCGAAATGGAATTTTTACAGAACAACCATGAAAGGGGTGCCCTGCTGGTTCAGTCGGTAGAGCAGGCGACTCTTGACCTCAGGGTCATGAGTTCAAGCCCCACATTGGGCCTAGAGCTTACTTAAAAAAAAAAAAAAATTTCCATGGAAGTGTCAACCCATGCTACTCCTTATTCAGCTATGACACTTCTCAATCTGTACCCCTAAATAATGCAATGATAACTATGAATTGCACTTATTTGTATGTATGTGAATGGGTGTGCAACTATGAAGTTCTGCAATTGAAAAACTTTACCAGAAGTCTGAGTTCCCTATACACTGGTCCCAAGCCATCCTTCCTGACATCTAGGGTGTCTAAAAGGAACATTTGCTCTTTATACCTATAAGAAAGGGCTCCAAAGCCCCATAGAAAATATTTAAACAAGAAATCCTTCATGCTTTCTGATGTTCTAAAACAGAAGTATGTCAAAGACTACTGAACTAAAAGTCTGGAAACCAGGTTTCTGGGGCCTGATCTGACACTACAGTGACCGACTGTCCCAGTTCACCTGAGATGAAGGGACTTCCCTGGATGGGGGACTTTCAGTGCTAAAAATGAAGAAAGTCGCAGGCAAATGGGGATGAGAGCTAAATCACAAGCCAGGGGAAGCACACTTCCCTATGGCCCTAGGACATATTTACACCATATTTGTTTGGACTGTATATTGTACACCATAAGTGAATGTACACTTTTGTAGGATCAGAGAACTCTGGAAATATTTTGTGAAGCTATGGGTTAAGTTTGGAGTTGGAGAAGCTTAACAGTGAAGAATAACTAGGAGGTTTCATTTTTTATTTTTCATTTCTTTAGCAAAGAGAAAAAAATCAGCTGCTTTTAGAAAATACCAAGCCAGGGCGCCTGGGTGTTTCAGATGGTTAAGCGTCTGCCTTCGGCTCAGGTCATGATCCCAGGGTCCTCGGATCGAGTCCGACATCGGGCTCCCTGCTCCTTGGGAGACTGCTTCTCCTTCTGCTTCTCTCTCTCTCTCTCCCTCTGTCTCTCATGAATAAATAAATAAAATATTTTTAGAAAAAAGAAAATACCAAGCCAACAGGGGCGCCTGGGTAGTGCAGTCGTTAGGTGCCTGCCTTCGGCTCAGGTCATGATCCCAGGGTCCTGGGATTGAGCCCCATGTCCAGCTCCCTGCTCAGCAGAGAGCCTGCTTCTCCCTCTCCCACTCCCCCTGCTTGTGTTCCCTCTCTCGCTGTCTCTCTCTCTGTCAAATAAATAAATAAATAAAATCTTTTAAAAAAAAAGAAAAGAAAAAAGAAAATACCAAGCCAACGAAGGAAATCCTTCCAACACCAATATCCAATGTAACCCCATCTTCCCCGCCTCCCAGGTCACCAGAGACCTAGGCAGAACATCTGGACAAAAATTTAAAAACAGAATATTACTTTGATTTACTGACAGCCACTGTGAAAGAATATATTTCTACCTTTTTAAGAAAGGGAGAACTTATAAATGTATGGTTACAAGTAACTACAAAACCCAAAAGCAAAGCAAATGCAAACGGTAGTTTTAACTAGCCACCCACAATAACAATAGAGCCATAAAAGAAAGAGATAAATAAGGCCTTGAGTTTTTAAGAGTATGTTCACTTTTAAATGTATGCTATAATTTATACCTTTAATCTGAAAAAACACCAATTTAGAGGATACAAGACAAGTTATATGGAAGATTAAGTCACAATCTCACGTGTGGTAAAATCAGAACAAAATTTCCTCTTTCCTCATTGGGGATCCTAATAATTTAGGATAATATCTGACTCACTGGTACTCACATAGATCCTGATGAAAGTGTTTGTGCCATGAAGATGGAATTATGAGAAATGTCTAAAAGCACAACTAAAGAAGTAGTCCTAGGGCAGTCAGTTAAGCATCCAATTCTTGATTTTGGCTCAGGTCATGATCTCAGGGTCCTGAGATCGAGCCCTGTGTCGGGCTCTGCACTGGGTGCAGAGCCTACTTAAGATTCTCTCTCCCTCTCCCTCTGCCTCTCCTCACCTCGCGTTCTCTTTCTCTCTTTCAAAAGAAAAAAAAAAAAGGCCAACTAAGTGACTTTTTTAAGGCAGTAACATTCAGGGAAAGTTGTAAGAAAAATGCCTCTGTTCCTAGAAAATGACAACATCCGCAATATATTTTTTTAACTCATGAATGAACTATTCTATCATTTCTCATCATCATTCTTAGTAAATGGGTAGCAGAGCTGTCATTAGAATTAGTCATTAGAAGTCCTTAGTCTGGGGTGCCTGGGTGGCTCAGTTGGTTGAGCGACTGCCTTCGGCTCAGGTCATGATCCTGGAGTCCCTGGATCGAGTCCCACATCGGGCTCCCTGCTCAGCAGGGAGTCTGCTTCTCCCTCTGACCCTCCCCCCTCTCATGCACTATCTCATTCTCTCTCTCAAATAAATAAAATCTTTAAAAAAAAAAAAAGAAGTCCTTAGTCTGCCATCACCAACAAGAGATTTCTTGTTACTTAAGGGCAGCCTCGAAGTCTGTGTGTGTTCACATGTGTGGCTCCACATGTATACATTTGCCTATGTGCTTCTCCTTGCCTCTTCACACAGAAATTTCTCCCCCCAAATCAGTCAAAAATAGCCTGTGCCCAAATCTGTCACAGACATTGTGGGGATATGAAGGTGTGTGCAAGAAAAGCGGGTCTCAGCCCTCGAGATAGTTATAATTTACTTGGGAACATAAGACATATTCCCATGAAGGCTTCCCAGTGCCAGCAAAATGGATGGCTACCATATTTTTATTAGTAATATGGGGATGCTAACATCTGCATATTATTTGCATGAATCGCAAAGCCTTAATCAAAACAGGTAAGAAAAAATAAATCCATGCCATTTATTTCAAATATATTAAAATACAATAAATATACAATAAATAACAGAATTTATTTTGAGCATATAATAAGTAGCATACCAGTGTAGAGTAGTAAAAAAGATGAGGTGAGATTCTTTTAATGGCCAAAATATCACGGAAAAGGAACAGTTTTGTTATTATTATGCCAGCAATGGCAATGGCAACGAAGTGTGGCTTCTCGAGGCTTTTCTCAAACCCCAGACATGTGTTGTGAGAATAAGCTGCTGGGTGGGGTGCCTGGGTGGTTGAGTCAGTTAAGCTTCTGACTCTTGGTTTCAGCTCAGGTCCTGATCTCAGGGTTGTGAGAGGCTCCAGGCTCAGCACAGAGTCTGCTTAAGATTCTCTCTCTCCCTCTCCCTCAGCCCCTCCCAACCCCACCTCCACCCCCTGCACACTCATGCTCCCTCTCTCTCAAATAAATAATCTTAAAAAAAAAAGGAAAGCTGCTGGGCCAGGTAGGTAGGTTTCTAGTGATCCAGGTTTTGGCCCTAATTCCTCCACAGTCATATCCTCTCTTACCCTGATTGTCTACCTGTACTGAGGTCTGAACTAGATGATGGCTATTATTCTTCAAAGGAACATTTCTGTTCTTCGATAAATATATCCAGGTCCCATCCCTTCTCTACCCACCCTCTACACTCCCATTAAATTACAGTGTACAACATAAAACTATTTGTGAATCTATGACTTTAATTTTTTGTGTTTGTCTACCGACTTCTTTATGGCAACTGGTTAACAAAGGAAAATCTTAATTCATATTGCTAAAATTTAGCACTAAATAGTCATCAGTTTTATATTATCTAGTCCTAATAATCTACCCAGATTAATGTGGCATATTGTTCAACACTGATATAAGAAGTTTTGGTGTAGCTGTAATTCAAAATGATGAAGCTCAGATCAAACAATTATGTATTCATTGTTTTTAGCTGGCTTAAAATTGGCTTAGCTACATAGCAACCAAGAGTAAGGAAATATTTAATTTCTCTTTTTATGATAATCCAGTGACAACATCTAAGTATGACTTTGGTATAAAAAGGCTACGTAAACATCCTTTCATCTGGTAAGTCTTATTAAACCCACGGAAAAAAATTAAGAACAGAAGAAGATAAATATGGGTTGTAATATCAAACTATCTCTACTATCATTTTTATGTTGGAAATATTCTTGTTTGGACATCTGAATGTTAGGACAATTATCACCTAGTAACAGCAATGAATTCAAGTAAAATGAACTCCAATAAAATGCTAAACAATACAAGCTCTCCTTATTCTGAAATACTCTTGTTGAGTCATTTCAGTAAAGAGATAAAAGAAAACCAAAATGGAAAAAAGAAAACATGCTCAAGCTTCCATGAAGCTGTATGATAAAGTGAATAATAGAAACAAAAATAAATCAGGGAATTGAGAAGTGTGCTGGAAAAGTTTTTCAAATACTATCCTTGCTTGTATCTAGCTCCATTATACAGTTTAAAATTTGGCCAAATTTTTAAAGTATTTGTTAAACAGTTCCTGCGTGTGACATATGTTTCCAGGATACTTCTGACATTGATATGAGAGATTATAAAACATTTAGAAATGAAAATGTTACTCTCCAACAAAAAACACTGTAACTTCCAAGCTTCTTCTGAATTCATAAGATGGAAAAACATTTGGAAAATAGTACCTTTCAGTTTCAAAATGTTCAAATAATATACTTTAAAACAAACACAAAAAGTATAATTGTTCAAGGCAAGGAGGAGACAAGCCTAAATAAAATAAGATCCTAAAATTTATTCTAGGAGTTATTACTTTTCCTTTGAAGTCTCAATCCTATTTACTCCATTATAAGGAAATTTTTTCATCCCTTCAGCTGGAAAGGATAATTTTTACCCTACCAACATGATGACAGTACCACTGTAGTGCTCACCCAGCAAGAAATGCATGATGAATAGGAAGTAGTGTCAACTCTTTCTGTCAAAGTGTATGTAAGAATCGATTTGCAATGCGTTAATTGAGGAACTCAGCAGAGACGCTTCTACTATATCTAGCTGACCTAAACTTGAGCTCATGATAACACTGCACAAAGCTATGGTAGATAAAAGTGATAGGTAACGCCAAGAGAACAATCCCACTGACAACACAAACTCCTCCAAGAATTCTTCCAGGCATGGTGATAGGATACATATCTCCATAGCCAACTGTAGTCATAGAGATAATCACCCACCAGCAGGCAGCAGGGATGCTGGCGAAGTCCTTGTTGGATGTTTCCAGGTCCAACCCATGTTCAAGAAGCTGAGAAAGTGCACTAAAGATTGCCATGGCAACACAAATGAAGACAAGTAACATAACCATCTCTCGGTAACATCGTTTGAGAGTCAAACCAAGTGTCTGGAGACCAATGAAGTGACGGGCAAGTTTAATCACCCAAAAAATCCTCATCATTCTAAGCACCCTCAAGGTGACTCCAGCCCTCTGGAGTTGAGAGTTCTCGCCTGTAAACACCGTCATTAACACGGAGATGTAATACGGTGTGATTGCCAGTAAATCAATGATGTTCAGGGGTCTCTTGACAAACTCACACTTGTTTTTGGAGACGATGAACCTCACGATGCACTCTGCAGTGAACCAACCTATGCAGATAGCTTCAATTATCCTGTCAAGAGAACAAAAGAAGAATTGATCATTTTATTTTTAAGCATTTTAATAGCTCTTAGATATCTTCAGATAGTACTACACCGACAAACGACTTCAGTTACTTTTTCCAGAAAACATAAAGAACAGACAGCATTACCAACATCATCAGACCCACCAGGACACAACAGAGCTACAAAGATTACAGTTCAAATGAAAATTGAATTGATCAAGTTTCTATTTATATACTGCATGAATACCACTAAGGTTTTTTTTTTTTTTTGCCTGTCACTAATCTTTTAGAAAATTGATCTCTTACTTGGTGTTTTAAAATGACCTTCCATGCAGCTAGCCACAATATGAAATGTTATTTACACCGTGAGGACAGCGGTCCCCACTGTGATGTCAGTGACTATTCTTACAAACAGTGGACATACCCAAGTTTTCAGTGATTTAGTTCTTGGTAAATAAGAGTGAACTCAAGATCATTTCCTAACATGTTACATTGCTTTCTTTTCCTGCAGGCTCCTGTGGGAAACACGGAAGCTGAGCTAATTTGGGGGTTTGGCAGGAGCGCCACTAGCCTCACCGGGACAGCGCCAGGTCATGACCATCCTCATCGCAAGGGTCACCATGGAAAAAAGGCTGAGGGCTCCTGCACTGGAGTGAAATGATCACTAGATTCTTCCCCAAGGACCCAACTGGTTGGTTGGTTTGTTTTCCATAGCTCTTTTTATGTGACATGTATTTTAAAATATAAGGCCACATTTCACCTAGAGCTGTATTGACCAACCTTTCCACATCACTGCACGCGTTGGAAATAACAATATTTACATAGCACCCTGGCAGCAAGGGGTAGTATTCTTGAAGTCAAAGACACCAACCCGGGGGGCTCTAGCTCCCCTGGCCCTTGCCTGTACTCCCCAAGGCTGAGGAAATTAAATCTCAGCACACGGTTTTGGAAGCCTTGATATAAATAAAGCCTTGAATAAATAAATTGAACTATGTTCCCCTACTATAGGGTTGGCAGGGCTATAAAGATTAATTTTATTTACTGAATAAGTAGTACATTCACATGGTTTAAATTTAAAAGACCATAAAAGAGAGTACAGAAAGAAAATTCTCACTCTTGCCCTGTTCCGCAGTTCCTGGGCCACAATCCCTTCAGAGGCTCTAGGGGAGAATCCACTCCTTGCCTCTTCCAGTTTCTGGGGGCATTCTTCGGCTTGTCGCTCTATCACTCCAGTCTCTGCCTCCTCATCTCTCACAGTGTCAGATCCCTCTGCTTCCTTCTTATGAGGATACATGTGATAGCATTTAGGGCCCACTGGGCTAAGCCAGGATAACCCCCTCATCTCAAGATCCTTAATTTAATCACATCTGTAAAACCCCTTCTGCCATATAAGTAACACCCGCTGGTTCCAGGGATTAGGACCTGATATGTTTGGGGCAAAAGGGGGAGTGTTTTTCAGCCTACCACACAAAGTAACCACACCAAGTCATCATGAAGCCACGGCTGCCCCCACTATTTCTCTACTGTATTATCTGCTGTTCTGCTCACGAATGCCATTACCCTGTGGTTGGCCACAGCTGCCCTGTCCCCATCAGGCCATCAGTAAAAGTGGCTGCCATGATGGCCTCTTTGAATCTGGAGGCTTAGGAAAGTGGGCAGGTAAAGAAACTTGGTAGTTCTAGAGAATAGGAAGATGCATTTTTTCCCCAATATATAGTTTTAGCAAATAGAATACCACATATGACTTCTCCTTGGTAATGTTCATCAACTATTCCATAGGTCCCCCCATATTTCTAGCCCCCCTGCAGGGAGGTAGGGTCATATGACCAGTTTAGACCAATGAGCCATGAGCAAAATGACTCTATCATTTCTGGGCAAAAGCACAGAAGGGTGAGTGCTAATTCTCTTCCCTGCCATGGCAACCTGGAAGGCAGGTGTCCTAGACAGCTACAAGATGGTTGGGGCCCCTACCAGCCCAAGCTCTTGCGTGTCCGTACGGAGAGACAGACATTCCCCACCCTGACTCAGATTGGACAAGATATGTGAGCAACAAATACATCTTTGTTGCATTAAGCTACTGAGATCTCTAAATTGGATGCTATCCTAGTAATAAACGGGTCTATATGGTAAGCAGTACGATGCACATTCCGAAGGGACTGCAACAGCACACGGTAGTGATGGTCCTTATTTTCTTAGATTGGCTGTGGTTAAAGTGCACCGCCTCTCCAGCTAGAGTGCTGTGTCTCCTCCTCCCCAGCCGGCCTGGAGAGAGCGCCCCCGTAGCCAAGCGATGCCCAAGGCCTGCTGCCGCGCCTGCTCATAGGGGCCTGCCTGGCGGCATGCCGGGCGCGCGCTCACACTGATCCTGTAAGGGCTCTCCCAGCAATAAAACCCAAAGATTCTATTCAATTAAGAAGAGCAAAAATTCTAATGGTGCCAAAAATACCAGAACATGTTCTAATTATTTCCACCAGCAGCCAAAATTGTTCAGATTAGAAAGGAGGAAATCCAAATAATCCCTCAGTAAGGGAATTTCAAAGAGGTAAACACCTCTGTAATGAGGCCCTCTGGGCTCTTCCTGCCCACCCCCCTCCCCAAGTCAGATGCAGTTTATCCAGAATTCCATGCCAAAGGGATGAATCAGTGAGACACCCCAGGCATCCCTCTTTCACCTAGGACTATGCCAAGGCAGTCACCAACAACAAACACAATAAGGGCTGCCAAAACGCCCCAGGTTTCCAAATGGCATTCTCGCCAAAGCCACCACCACCAACTGCTAGAAAACTGAGTACTGTTTTACTCAGGGCTATAGCCAACAGTCGGGTACTCCCCAAGGTTACTTCTAACAAACAAACAGGAAAAGAGAACGGAAGAAGATACTGAGGGCGGGCACCTGGGTGGCTCAGTCGTTAAGCGTCTGCCTTCGGCTCAGGTCATGATCCCAGGGTCCTGGGATTGAGCTCCGCATCGGGCTCCCTGCTCTGTGGGAGGACTGCTTCTCCCTCTCCCACTCCCCCTGCTTGTGTTCCCTCTCTCGCTGTGTCTCTGTCAAATAAATAAATAAAATCTTAAAAAAAAAAAGAAAAAGAAGATACTGAGGGACACCATATTCCTTGGAAGCCCATTCTGATTTCTTTCGAGGCCCAAACACAGAAGCCTATGAATTCATGGCTAATAAAAATAGTTACCACTTCTTGAAGCCTTTCCATTGGGCACTGTGTGAAGCATTTTACAGATACCGCTTCATTGAGTCCTTTTCTAGGACTCTATGAAGTGTGTATTTCCCCTGATAGCCCCATTTTCCAGATGATGGAACTGAGGTTAGGAAGTTAAACATCTTTGCCAAGGTCACACAACTGAGACATTGCGGTGGCACGTGTAACGAAACCCGGGTCTCCTGGGCTTTGAAGTTCTATGGAATATCTGAAAACGCTAAAGGTTTTTATGGCAATGTTCGCTGTGAATGTGAAGTGATAGATGTCAATCTTTTGGTCTCCATGGTTTATGTGTTAGAGCAGCATTTTTTCAACTGTCAGTTCTTAACCCATTAATGGATCAAAACTGACATTTGTTTCAGAAATTGGAATAGAAAATATCAGAGTGCAGAGTATAGCTTGATGAAATTTTTGTTTCGGTTACATATAATTGTACCCTGAGGTATGCCGTAAAATGTGCTCCTTCCTGTAGGTACCAGAGGACCACCACAATTGCTGGCTACCATTGGTCACTCAATGGATCCCTCGTGATAGAAAGCACATCTGGGAATGACTCAGAGGTTTCCAGAGGCTCCAAAGGGGGAGCAGATGCCTTTAGTACTAAACAGTTCTACCCCTCGCCCTCCCACCCAGACAAAGGCTAGACAAAACATACAAGGCCAATAACTATGGTGTGTGAGGTAAAAGTAAGTCTCCCTGTGTACTATCTTCTCATCTTTTTCCATCAACATTTTATTATGAAAAATTTCAAACATGGAACAAATTCATTTACATTTTTTTAATTTTTTTTTATTTATTTTTGAGAGAGAGAGAATAAGAGAGAGAATGAGAGGGGTGAGGGTCAAAGAGAGAAGCAGACTCCCTGCTAAGCAGGGAGCCCGATGCGGGACTTGATCCTGGGACTCCAGGATCATGACCTGAGCCAAAAGCCGTCGCTTAACCAACTGAGCCACCCAGGCGCCCCAAATTCATTTACATTTATATTTTATACTTGTTTATCACCTATTCACCTATCTACCCATCTATTAATCTTTTTTTTTAGAGGGAAGTGCACTTCCCTCTAAGAACTTCAAAGTGCGTATCATTAACTAGAGTTCAGTATTTGTTTCATTTTTTCTTTTTTTTTAAGATTTCATTTATTTATTTATTTATTGTAGAGAGAGAGAGCGCGCGCGTGCACGTGTGCAAGTGGGGGGAAGGGCAGAGCATGGAGTCCAACGCAGGGCTCGATCCCGCAACCCTGAGATCATGACCTGAGCCAAAACCAAGAGTCAGATGCTTAACGGACTGAACTACCCAGGCGCCCCAATATATCTTTCTTTTTTAAGAACAAAGTGCACTTGCTTCTAAAAACTTCAAAGTGCATATCTTTAACTAGAGTTCAATATTTTTTTCATTTTTTTCTTTTGATGTAAACTTTACATGCAATGAAATACACAAACCTTAAGTGTGCATTCACTGAGTTTTTGATAAAGCCATAACCTCTATCATCCAAACTCCTATCAAGATATACAGCATTCACATCACCCCAGAGAGTTCCCCACCTTATTTTTGTTATCTTCTCTCATTTCCCAGACCCATCAGACACTTAGCAAGTGCCCACAGATGTTTGTCCAGTACAATGTAAATGACTTTGAAAGAACTCAAGGGCCTGGGATAGCCACTCCACAGCCACAAGAAGCTTTTAGGTTCTTCCGGGACCTTCAAGGGATTACCGAAGCACACGATCCAAAAGGGTATCAAATTCAGTTGGACCCTTTTCTGAAACCTTATACAAAAATTAATTCAAAATGG